CTAGATGACCCCATCTAGATGCTTATCTAACCTCCTCTTGAAGACCCCCAGGGTAGGGGAGAGCACCACCTCCCTTGGGAGCCCGTTCTAGACCTTGGCCACTCGAACTGTGAAGAAGTTCCTCCTAATGTCCAATCTAAATCTGCTCTCTGCTAGCTTGTGGCCATTATTTCTTGTAACCCCCGGGGGCCCCTTGGTGAATAAATACTCACCAATTCCTTTCTGTGCCCCCGTGATGAACTTACAGGCAGCCACAAGGTCACCTCTCAACCTTCTCTTGCGGAGGCTGAAAAGGTCCAGGTTCTCTAGTCTCTCGTCGTAGGGCTTGGTCTGCAGGCCCTTAACCATACGAGTGGCCCTTCTCTGGACCCTCTCCAGGTTATCCGCATCCCTCTTGAATTGCGGCGCCCAGAATTGCATGCAGTACTCCAACTGCGGTCTGACCAGCGCCCGATAGAGGGGAAGTATCACCTCCTTGGACCTATTCGTCATGCATCTGCTGATGCACGATAAAGTGCCATTGGCTTTTCTGATGGCTTCGTCACACTGCCGACTCATGTTCATCTTGGAGTCCACTAGGACTCCAAGATCCCTTTCCACTTCCGTGCCACCCAGCAGGTCATTCCCTAGGCTGTAGGTGTGCTGGACATTTTTCCTCCCTAGGTGCAGCACTTTGCATTTCTCCTTGTTGAAATGCAACAAGGAGAAATGCCTCCATGTGTCCCAGAACCTTAGTGATTACGACTCAATGTATATTAAAAAAACCCACCTTTTAAAGCTGTTCCTGTGTCCAAATCTAATTGGGAACAATGATCCGAATCAATGGATCGAATCACTGTCCCTGATTTGGGCCGAATCCAAATCCAAATCAAATAGGGCCCATTTTGCACACCCCTGTTGTTCAGTACATGGTGTGACAGACAAGTCTCAGGAAACCAGAAGGTTTTTGAGTGATCAGTCCAACTTCTTTTAAAAGCAGAGTAAGTGTGATTTCTGTTTTTCTATGAGTAGGTAGCATTAAATTTTCTTATTTCCAACACCGATCAGCTGGCTCAATATTTACTAACTGAGCACTGAAAGCAGCTTGATTAAAGTTTCACAGGTGAAAGATAGCTGTGGTGATCTGAGGCATGTATATAGAAGGAAGGAGTTCTATATAGAAGGAAAATTTATGCTTTGGATTGTAACATAAAAACAGTGCCAGAAAGCGGATATATGAGGTTGGGGAAATCTAGTATTGGAAGGGTGTAGTCAAAAATATAGAATTTCAGGAACACACAAATATTTTCTCTGTGGTTTTATGTAGCCCTATAAAAATTGGGACATTTATGTTAGTATGCATGATGAGTATGAAACTACAATTTTTGCATTGTAATATGTTCTGGTTTTCATCAAAAAGCCTTAACTGTTGTTAAAACATATTTACTATTCCAGTCTAAGAAAACCATTAAATGTTTTTTAAACAGCTGAAGACAGACCTGAACAGTGCCAAGCACCCTACATCTTTATGAACCACCCAGTACAGCTTTTTACACTTACATTTCTCCTTGCTTCCTTTAAGCATTATAAAGAAGTGATACATGGAAATATAGTCTTTTGTAATTTAATACAGCAGTCAAAACAAAAGACTTACAAAATGCATAATTAAAACTAAGAGCAAATTTATTATGTTTCTTGGTGTTTTGAAAAGAATTATAGTTTGAAGAGTTAAATTATACCTGAACAGCTTCATCTCGTGCTTGCTTTTCTTCCTGCCTTCGTTGGCGCTCTTCTTGTAATTCATTTAGCCTTTGTTCATATTCTTTTAGTTTATTCAGCACATCATGACGCTTATTCTGGGCTTCTAAAGTGTTTATAAATGCAATTTCATTCACCTGCAATTGAACCAAAGTATAAAAGAAATTAGAAGATTTAAAGCTTTCCAATATTTAAAAAAAAATCGACTCTGGGCACTTTTCATACAACATTTTGTTCTTTTTCAGTTGTCCTGGTTTTTTCATTAAAATTTGTCATTGTTTAGTGCTGCTCTAATGCTGCCCACTGTTAAGAACTGTGGGTCTACATGAGGAAGAAAAAACTAGCATAGACCCATTTTAGATGAGATTGCTATATTTGAGAATCTGAACTATAAGAATTATAAACAAGCCCCCTTTGGTTTAAGTTTCTGACTTAGCAAAGTACTTCAACACTAACTTGACTCACATGAGTATTCTAATTTAATTTTCTTATTCACACGGTGAAGTACCTTGCTGGTGTACTATCAATAATTTTAACTGCATGTTTAATTTAATCAATCATATAATACAGGTAATTGCTTAATTATTTTAATTGATCAATCAATTCATTCTTTAAATTAAATTAGACTGTGACCCAAATGGACAGCCTCCAAATTACAAGTCTCATATGCAGCAAGCTTTTAAGGTCCCCCCACCAGAGATGTCAATCCTACAAGCACTTATTCTTGTGTTCAACTTAACATATTTGAATAGTCTTCCTGTCATCAATGGAAGTGCCCATAAGCATAAAATTAAACACACTAAGTAAGCATTAAAAGGATCAAGCCTATACCATACCAACTCTCAACTACTACCTGTACAGGACCAGGAAGGTTGCAGAAAGTCCCTAGAGAAAAAAAAAATTACCTAGCTCCAGATCCTGTAAACACATCTGAAAAAGCAGACCTACACCTGCACAACTCTTGACTTGCATGAGGCTCTTCATGGGCACAAGAGCCCTTAACCAGTTTCAACTTTTGAATTTCCTTGTATTAAAAACATGCGTAAAGTTTCCTCTTCCCACATATCTATTTAAATGGGCAATTTATTTTCTGTTCTTTCTTCATTCAAGAACAGAGAAAAAGGACATTTTTATTACCATGACACCCACCCCCTCTCCCTTATCTGCAACACGAAAAATGTTAGGCCAAGAGCTCATGTTTCAGAAAGTTATATCTACATGAAAAAGATGACCCATTATTTAAATTTTAACTAAAACATACTTCAGAAGGAAAACCATTCAGGAAAAAAAATCACAAAATGTTATCATCATGCTAGGAAATACTGAACATAAAAGCGATTGTATTGTCATACGCATCCTGCCCACTATATTTGTATGAATCCATAAAACAACTGTGCAGATGTAAAATCTATGAAACAAACCAAAGGCAGTGTTGGGTTTTAGTGGGGGCTGGTTGGGGGGGGTATGCTTTGTTTACTGACCGGAACATATTTGCAGAATAGATTTTGCAGTTCACTGAACAGTGAACAATGGGATTTTAGAAAACTAATTGGGCAGTAACAGTTGCTGTGGTCTTCCAACTGCAATACACAGCTAGTATTTCTGCAAAGCCTCCTAGCCCAATTAACCTTGTTCTTGCAAGAACCACAAGGGGCAGCAGATCTCACACATTTAAAAATACACAGTATTTCACACATCTGTTTACATGGGAATTTTGTTCACTATGATATGATTAAGAAGTCACATAGGTTTCATACAACGATGATGGTAAACATACTAAACTGAATTAAGTAGTTCAGAAACTCTTTTAATCCAAGAGACAGAAATAGCCATTGAGTTACAGCACTAAACCAATTTTGGCATGATTATGTTAATTAAAAAAAGATGATAAGGTATATCAAATATAGCTTGGACACAAGAGCTCACTAAATACAAAACAGCATTCAAGCTTTAAAACAACACATATGCTGACATTACAGAAAAATAAACTATTTTTCATTTGTTTATTAAAAATATGAATAAAGTAAATTATTAAAGTAAATTAATGAAGTAAAATAAAAACATATATTCACAACTAGGAACCTAGCAAAACAGATGCTGAAATCACTGCACTGGTAAGCAACTTGTCTTCCTAGAATAATTACAATATGCCAAATATAAATTCGTGATTGTATGATTTCCAATAGTTTAATAACTCATTGCTAACCTCTTACTGATTTTACCAGCAGAAACACACTTCTCAACTCTCTCTACATTGAATGAATGTAAAAAAATTAATACTCTAATCTACGTGCTAGGGATTTTTTTCCAGCTAGGCACTTCAGAGACCCAAGAGCTAAGTAAATTTTGAAATGTGATAGCTCCACACAAGAGACTCTGAATTATGTTCAGTGCATCGGTCACGTGCTACTACCTCATTTGTGTTTGGAATTCCAGTCACAGTTAAACCCAGAACACTGGGTCAGTATGGATGTGCACAGAGTACACATTAACCAAACTCCATTTAAAGGTTCAGATTATCCCTTAATCCCAGAATGAGCATGACATGTGGAAGAGTGAAACAAGCTTTCCCCATTGTTCATTTCCCATGCAACTGACAAGAACAATTTAATAATTTTGCTACTCCTTCTGTATACCTTCAGGAGTGAAAACTACCTCTAAAGTCCCTTCCAATGGCCAGAACATTACAAGATCTTTTTTTCCCAATCCCTTCATAAAACATATTTCCTCCACTAGGACGTCAAACAATTCCATGTTTACCCCAATCCAAGAAGGCTTTGAATTTAAGATGACCCCTCAATAATTAGATTTTATACATGGAAAATTATAAATGTTATATTTTTCCATGTGTAAAATCTAATTAATGGAGGATGCCTGAAATTCATTCCCCCACTTCAATAGTGACGAAAGCAGCAACAGGGGGCAAGGGGCCAGAAGCCTGCCCATTTATCCCCTACCCCATGTCTCTCTCATGCCTACCCCCTACCACCTGCCCATCTCCTGCTTCCCTGTCCTACGCCTGTGCCTGCCCTACTCCACTCCCTACCCAACCCCCTCTTATCTTCTGCTGCAGATTTGCTCCTCAGGGGCAGTCAGCAGCAGTGCAGGCCCAGCCAGGCCCCAGCCCAGCCCATTCCCTGTCTCCCTCCTACAGCCTCCCCCCTGCCCCACTTTACCTATTGCTGCAGCTCTGCTGCAGCTCTGGGTCACTTGGCAGCAGCAGAACCCCAGCCCAGCCTGGCCAGAGAGAAGCAACAGCAGCTCCCAGCCAGGCAGTGTTGGGGCTGGAAGGACTAGAGCCAGAGCAGAAGGTAATGGGGGAGAGAGCCGCTGAGGGGAAGGGACCAGAGGGTGGGGAAAGCAGGCACAAGCACAAGAAGCAAGGGTGGGGAGGCACGGTATAAATTCTCCCCTCCCTCCCCCACCCAAGTCTCCCTGCCTTCCCCCCACCCACGTACCCTCTCCCGCACCAAACAAGTCATTCCAGGTTGGGCCAGGCAGCAGTTCAGCTCCAGTTTCAGACCAGGGACCAGGAGGAACTAGAGCTGAGCCACTGCCTGCCCTGGACTGGAACTCGAATTCAAGACAAGGTCTTTCTTCCCCCATGCTGACTGAGGGAAAAATACTTCATACTGGATTCAGGTAAATACAGTAGTTCCCCAATTAATTAGGCTTTTTTTTTTAAAAGGAAACTTTCACCTTATCTATTTCACTGGTGATCATATGTCTGACCTGTGTTGACTGCCATAGGTATTTTGTAGGCATTTAAACAAGTAGCTATGCAGAACCATGCTAAGCACCCAACAAAAATTAGCAATAATTTTCTACCCAAACTTCCTACCTTTGCTTCTTCCTCTTGTGCTTTTTTCACAATTGCTTGCAACTGCACTTCACGTTTAAATTCCGCATGGAGGAGTTTTTCCTCCATCATCCTGCGTCTTTGGTCCAATAACTCCTCTTTCCACTTTCGCACATCTTTCTCCTAACCACAGAGAGAATATTAGTATATTACTAATAAAATGCCATAGTTAACGTACATATTTTTCTCAGTACTTTTTCCTTTATATGCTTTATCTGTAAGAAAATGTAAAGCTATCCTGCAGGGACTTCAGTCTAACTCAGAAGGGACTAGTTAACTAAACCAGCAGTGTAACTGACAGGGGGCAACCAGGGCAGCAGCCCCAGGCACTGCTTTTAGGAGAGTGGAAAGGCCTGAGCAAAAATAGCCATGATCACAGCAGTGGTTGATCACACCACTGTGACTGGTCCTGAGGCAGCCAGTGCTGCTGCAGGCATCATGCAGCTTCACTGAACTAAACACTAAATGTCTGAGAGATCTTTGGATGGTCTCAGCATATATAGCACTTCCAAGAGTAAAGTAGAGTTACTATGGGATTTTGTCATAAATCTTATAGCTCTTCATCATTTAATAATAACCGTGTTTAATGATTTCACAAGTCTAATGTAATACTGTGTACAGAATGATAAAAGCCTTTTGCTTTAGGAAATGCAACAAAATCCAAAGGAATTTTGAACCATCAGGCAATAGTTTAAAGCTGGGTAACATTTGCATAGCACAAATATAAAACATGTGCAGAATGCATTTTCGATATTCTCTTTATCTTACTGTCACATCACTCCAGAGATTTAAAGCAATTATAAATCTGATTTAACCAAGCCCCAAGTCTTTTCCTTAATCTTCCAAGTCACACTAGGATCTTTTGGAGATTAAACCAATCCCTGGGATACACAGGGAAATCCCCATTAAAAGCATGGAGTGGCATGAGTTGGGTAGGAACAGGTACCTTCACAGTTCCTGGATGCAGCTAACATTAGAGGAGTTTATAGAATCTGAACTACAGACATTTTCTTTCTGATGACTGGGTTGCCTGCCTGAGGCCATGGACAGGCATTTGTTTCTAGTGGTAAGAATTTCTCTGAAATACACAGGTGGCCTCGCTAGCCAGGAGGCTCTAGATCAAGGGTGGGAAAGATACGGCCCATGAGCCGTATCTAACCCATCAATTGATCCTATCTAGTTCACCAACCACTGTTGGGAGCCTGAGGAGAGAGAGCTACACCCTCTGCTGCTCCTCCACATTCATCCTCCCCTCCACCTTCTTTTTGGTGCTGATGCTGCACAGTTCTGGCATTGCGGCCGCCAGCAGGTAGGCCTGCATGGGATGCGGTGTGATGCAGCACAAAGAGTAGCCATCTCTCCCACCCACCGTAATGAGCCGCTGCCACCATGGCACCACTAGGAGGTGACTTCATGCTGGCTTGTGGGGAGCTTGAGCTGGTCAGCCATCCCCGACTTTCCCAGTGCAGCACAGTGGCAGTAGCTCATCATGGTGGGCAGGATATCTACTTGGTGCACTGCATCACGCCCTATCCTGCATGGCCTGGCTGCCACTGGTCAGTGCCAGGACAGCTCAGTGACAACAGGAAGCTGGGTGGGTGAGAGCGATGGACTCGGGGGAGCAGGGTGGGGAGCACAGTAGTGTTTGCTCTGTGGGGCCCAGTCTGGCCCTGGCTGCAGCACAACAGAGCAGTATGGGGTGCAGCCCTCCCTCCTCAGGCTCCCAGAGGTGGCCAGCAGGCCAGATAGGATCAACTGGCATATCACCTCCCCCAATCCTCAACTGCTGACCGAAACTTAAATCACCCTCCAGCCCAAATATCTGGCCACCCCTGCCTTAGATGGCTGCTCCTTGGGTGACCTCACCCTTAGGGGAGATGATTAATCGACAGCCTGCCCTCTCCCCTGCCTGGGAAGGGGACAGGCTGTCAATTGGCAGATGCTGAAAAGCAGCAGCTAGCTGCCACAAATAGCTTGGGGATGATTCCATACGTAAGATGTTTCCTTTCATCCTTTCTCCCTTGCCCCATCTCTCACATTTTCCTCAATGACCCTCTT